GGTTTTCATACGTGGTGCATATCATTCTGCTGGTCTTGGGACACTGATACTAAATCCGTGTTCCTTAGCTGCTTAATGATCCTCTGGGAAAAGTTATGAGCGATGGTTTCCCAGGATAACCACCTCACACTATAAGTCTGGTTCGTCAAGGAATTTACAGGTGCGGACAGATGGCTGGGTATAGCTGCGGAGACTACGGAGCAGATGGTGTAGAGTTCGCGCTCCCTTATGGAGCCAAAACTCAAGCATTTTGCAATTGTTTTTTATGATTTCGCTGAAGAGCTGAATTTCCGCTGAACTCATAGAAAACAGTTTGCAAAAATGCATGAGTTTGGCTCCATAGGGGAACGCGAATCTTCACCATCTGCTCCATAGTCTCCGCAGCTTTACGCAGCCATCCGTCCACAAGTGTGAATTTTTTGGCGCCCCAGACATATAATGTGAGGTGGTTAACCTGTGGAACTATTGCTCATAACTTTTCCCAGAAGATCATTGAGCAGCTAAGGAACGCGGATCAATTTTATTGATTTTATTGATTTCCTGCATTTGGAAAGTTCAGAATTCGCTGAAACTTGGACCACAGGGGTTATTTTACTCGCTAATTACAAAACGATGCTCTTACGCGTTATAGATCTTTAATTATGCTTGCTGTACGTACACGATAATGGGTCAGACATCAATGTGCTAGTTTTTGCTTGACGGGCCTATTTGACATCGCTAACGAATATCATGTTATGCGAACAGCGGACGCCTTGGTAACGACCCCCCCCCCCCCCCCCCCACCTTGATTCCTCAATAAGACCCCCCTCCCCTCAGTCTGATTCCTCAATACGACCTCCCCCCTCCCCACCCTGATTCCTCAATACGACCCCCCAGGTGTGGCATGCCACACCCCGCGCTTGACCCTGGTTGTTACTACTTATATTCGTCCGTACGCGGTAAAGTCTGGCTAACCCTAGAACAAACACAATTTTTTGAGACGACTGAGTCACAAGCAATGTTGAACCAGTCTTGTAGTCTACCCGTTCTGTTGTGTTAAAGTGCCTTAATGCATCTCTCATAACGTTTGAATTGGAGGTTATCCTTATCTATTTTAGCTACTCTGCAGAAAATATGTTTAACCAAACTTAGGGGTAGATAGTGTTGTGCAACTCGACAATTCAGCAATCCATGCGGGAAGCTAAAGTTCTATCATTATTTCTGCAT